GTTCTCGCAACGAAAATTTTCACGTGCGATAAGCGGAAAAGTCGCTTTCTATTATAGCGAACCACACCTACGTCCCTATTCGTCTCCATCGCTTCTGTGAAACTCCTCTTGCCCTGCGCTTTATGGTCCAGTAATTTTTTATCGGATGATCGTGTGAGCTGCTCAGCGCGTGCCCATACCATTGCGGACGTTGTTCTCGCGCCTTCAATTGGCCAGAAGCATTCTCCTTGCCGCACGGACTTAAAGGAAGTCTCCTCGGGAAAAACCATGATTTCAACACACCCACAAAACACTAGCTTGAGACACATCATTCACGATAAGAACGAAAAGGCAAAAAAAAAGTTTGTTTTGGTAAATAATTTGAAAAACTAAGGGCTGCTACGCGTTCAAATTCCCGCCGTACATCTGCCACAAATGCTGGCGACGGGAATGCTTCCACTTGGTTCTTGGAGTGCCGTCACTAGAAACTCTTTTTGGCCTTGACTTATTGCAAAAACATTTCACACTTCTACTGCATCCTATTCTATCGATCGTTTTGTCTCTATTCTCCGAATTCGAACGCTTAACCCAACCCTTTCAATGCGTCGCCCTGACCTACCTTCAACCGTCCATCGGGTGCGGTTTTCGTACGTTTGTTTCTCTTCGGAAACCGAATCTTCATGCGTGAAACTTTGTGTGTTGTTCTAGTGATCACAACTGACATATTCATGTTAGGAAAGAATGCAAGAATTTTCCGCGAAGGACTCCTTTGATCGTTCCTGATCCTGCCCAGTCGCGTCCGGCCGCAAACCCATCTCAGCATCCTCATTTCGGCGGAGTGGGGTTTCTTTCCATGATTCTTGCCGATGGGCCAGCACTCGCTGCCGTAGAGCATCGCAGGCCTTACCACTGTCCGGTACACCTTCCCTTTTAATGTTCTGGAGCACAGATGGTGACGGAGACTCCCTTTTCATCCGTGCGCTTACTGTCTGATCCACCAGCTACTGGATCGCACCCACAGTATTGGAATGCAGGGTCTAACATCGCGCTGGTCCAGTTTCAATAGTTTTACGACCCTCCCCTCCCTCTCACCTACGGTCGCTACAGCAAATTCTTACCGTTTGATGTTGTAAGCTTAAGCCATAGAGTTGTGAGATTTAATCGCATTTGGCGCAATGCGACTCGGAGAGGAGGCCAGTCGCCGTCGCGCGCGTCGCATGTTCGCGTGCTTTAGTGTGGAGCGAGAAATCCGTGAGTCAGGTGGAGTGTAGCCGGTGTAGGGGGTGGGGTGAGGCGTTACTTGACATGCATGAAAAGCTGGAATATTGTCGAGTTCGCACTTTGTCGCGAAGCATGACATGCGCGCAGTAGGTGCACACTGCCCCCCCCACCTCACAAAACCACACATTGAGGCTCAGCATCTGTTAACATATGTAGCTTACGCTAGCAGTTTCAGCGCGTGGCCGTTTTTAACGCTTTATTGGCCTTTATAGCGTCGATCATTCAAATACGCAATAGATACTCAATAAGAATCCTTCACGACTACGCTAACCCTGGCTCTTTGAGACTCCCCTATACCCCCCTCTTTGACGTCACGTATCCAAATACGACGCTCTCCTGCTTGATTGAAACTTGGACAAACGGACGGTTGACCCTGGCTCTTAAATCTTCAAATGCGGCTTCCTACCCGAAAAGCACAAACACGATCCTTCACGTTTGGAAAATCCCACAGACGAATGATGCTTGTGCCGGGTTTGCAGAGTAGCTTGCTTTCGAATGGTTTTTCTCGCTTTTTGTGGAGGAATCAGCTGTCCAAGTAGACTATACTCAAGCCAAAGGACTGTGGTCGATTTAAGCGTGCTTTTTTTCTGAAGTATACAAGAAGCTTCAATGAGGAACAGTGAAACGGGAAGACAAAGCAAAAAGTCCACTGGCAAACGCTTGTTTCCTCGACTTGTAGAGTTCCTATACTTTCGGATATCCCTTCTTCATTCTAAGGAGGGGATTAACGTTGCGACACGCAGATCCCATCCTTATTGCTTAAGAGGGTGGAAAAGTGATAGGACAGTGACAGATAGCATACGAAGAACTGACGCCTTTCCCTAGCTGTAGTTTTTATTTGAAAACATTTCCCCCCATTGTTGACGGTTGAAGGGATCTCTATATGTCGGAAAGTCGAAGAAAGGCGAATATAGTACCTAAATACCGGCGAAGGCAGGCAGGCGCCCTCTAATTTCTGGGACGATGCTCGTTCCGTAGCGGAGGGTATGCCTCAGCAGTCTGACAAGGCCATCTCCGCGCCACAGCACCGCACCCTCTCGCTGTCTGACTCCAGCCGTTCAGTAGAGAGAGCGTCGACGTTGAAGAAGGGCAGCAACGATGAGAGTCGCAGTCGCGGGAATCAAGGGCAGTGGTCTCATTTATCCGGTTCTGGGCCGTTTCTCATGATTTTTTCTTCATCCCTACACTATCACCTACATTTGGTTTCTATGGGCTGCCTCTACATCGTGAACTACTACTTCGAGTGAGCACTCCCAGCAACAACAAGAATACATTTTTTATTTGTAATCGCTTTATTAACACACTGCAATATAAATTATGACACAATCTAAATCTCTCTGAAAAATTGAAATGAAAATCCGTCATAGAATGTCAATGAGAGAGGTACGACCTGGGGTATGGCGTAATGAGAACAAAATTTATGAACAGACCCTGAAGTTTTTGTAGCCTATAACCTGAATCTGGTTAGAAATGCTTTCATATACAATCACAGCTAATCGAAGCTTATCGTCGCGAGAAATAAAAGATCATCTCTAGTCTTCTCCTGGGAAATGTGATTATCTTTCGTCTTTTGCACAGATACAGGTAATTTACGCGTGATGTGGCCTAGACTCAATATGTCGCGTCACTTCTTGCTTTCTGCTGTCACGTTTGTGGACGGATTGATGGTGTACAAGTGAAGCACGACCTGAAAAATCGAAATTTTACAATTTTGAAGGTAAAAATAAAACATTATGGGAAGCATACCCGAGGGATCTTGGTTGGCTTGCCATTTTGGAATCCATTTTCTGACTGTCTTCGCTGCATTGTCGCTTGGGAACATCTCGTGGAACAGTTTCCTCATGTAGAACGCCTCCTTACTATGAGGGGTGTTGTGAGGGAAAAGCTCGTCTGCTTTGGAAAACTGAAATGGAAAGAATGTAGGAGACAAGTTAATTCGGTAGAGTACTACATAGTTTGGTTGGATAGGCTCTATTAGGATGGCCACGAGCGAAAATTCCTTGATAGGGGCTCGGGTTTGCTCTAGTGGGCGGAGAGTGATCATTTTGAATTTGTGAAGCGCTGCACTTTGGGTAGGTGACGAAAAGCATTGGCACCATGAAGTGAAGTGGAATTCGCTGTTTCAGCAGTCTCATATGCCCTAACCCCATCCCTGTACTCGGGGAAGGGGGGGGGCAATGCAAACCCAACACACTGGGAAGGAAGCGCACCGGTCAGCGGCGCTGCAACTAGGGAAGCAGAAATGAATGGTAGGAATATTGCAGGGACTGAAGGCTGCGCGCAAGCAAAGAGCAGAGTTTTTACAACGGCATTGATAACAGGTTCTTCGACTACGTTTTTCTATAGGATAAATAGAGGTTTTGGGTCGAAAGGCTATGCGCTTCTATCCAAAAGAAGTGGGGGAAAGTCGAACAGTGGAAGGGCGACAGGACGTACACCATAACTTCTTGCTACCTGATAAGATTGGAATTGGCAATACGTCCCGTGCGATGGACTCTCTAACGTCATTTATACTATCGTGGTGCTTCGATAGCTGTCGCGGATATAATTTTGAAGCTGGGCTGCCACACACGGTCTGGCGCGCGCTCTAGCACCTCTCCCAAATGGCTTTACCAGCGCGTCACATTGACTCTGCTCCTACCATGTCACCTCTGGCTTTCGGTTTAACCTTCAAAAGTTCATTCATATTTAGCATTTTCTACGTTATACGATTAGCGGCGTATATTGAATCGTTAATTCAGGGTATCGTACGTTAGCGTCGCGATTACACCAATCCTTCTAATAAGGGTGTGGGAACTGACAACAGCGAACTCTGTTCCTTTGTATTCAAGCTCACCTCTTCATCCGTAACCTGCTCAGCGCAAAACGCCATCAACTGGTCGATCCAAGCGTAACCTACACCATCGGAGAACTGCTCCTTTTGCCTCCACAAAATTTCATGAGGAAGGTAAGTCTGAAATGTCCATCCTATTTATTCGAGTTCTCTTCAGGATAAATGACTTTAGGTAACCTACATCTGCGTCGAAGGCTTTTCTCAGTATGTATTTCTCCACGTCACGTCCATTGAGTGGCTGTGGGCGTTTGTATTTCGCTGCCGTTAACATGGTAGCATCAAGGAATGCCTACACAAAAGAAAGTTTACTTCCATGGCTCCACGTAACCTTTCCGAGATTTCTCACCTTATCGAGGAATGGAACGCGAACTTCTACAGAATGAGCCATTGTCGACTTATCAGCTCGAAGACAATCAGCAGTGTACAGATGAAGAACACGGTCTATCGTTTCCTGAACAAAAAGTACTTGAGATAAACCCTTTTTGAGCAGCGCGGACACCAATCTAGCCTGCAGTAACTTACTTTTTGGAATTCATCATCATTGGGAGCATTGTGGAAGTACAAATATCCGCCGAAAATCTCATCAGCTCCCTCGCCGGACAGCACGACCTAAATCGATCACGAGTAAATATGAACAGTTATAAATTGGTAATACTTTTTTCTTCGGATTTTATTAAAGGCATGGGTCGTGATCGAAAGGTAAATGAAAAGAGCGAATGGGGAGATTGGTGGGGAGAAAGCAAAAACCACCATAGAAAATACTGAAATTTCCCTTGTGAGGTCGATCGTTATAAGGCGGAGAGACACAGCGCTGCGGAGAGAAGGAAGTGCGAGAGAGCGAAAGGGAGCAGACGCCACGTATACTGCGACTGATAAGAATGGCAGCGGTCGCAGCGGTCAAGCAAAGTCATTGGTTCTCTTGAAGCGCAATTTTTTACTTCCGCTACAGGATCACCATTGGTCAGGGGTTTAGGGGCTGTTACCCCACTCGAGAGAACTTCTCTGAGAAGTCTAATCGCAACCCATGCCTTTAAGGTTACTTCACACTCGAAAGCATAAAACACTCGACATTGATCAACAACTTTTTTAGGATACGCCATGCATTCTACTTCATTCGGAATCGCAGTAACGTTCGATTCCGATTTAGCCGTACGACTTGCGGATACCAGCGTATGAACGGTCAGCGCTTTCATCCTCCTCAGACACTAGACCACGGAGGGATGAGAGGCCTGGTTAATCTGGACGGCTTTCCACATTTATCAAGTGCTTCCTAAAGCCGTCAACAGTCCGTCAGGATTTCCAACGAGGTAGACGTTCTTGTGACTTCCGAATGGATGTCGAGATTTTTCTTACAATAGGGGGAGGGGGAACGTAGTGGTGGAAGGAAAAAAGCTCAAGTAAAAAGATTCGTCAATTTGCTGTTCCAGGCGCCGTATAAATATGATATATGTTTACCCCCCCCCCTTCGCCACCCTTGTGGCCTGCTCATCGTCCGTTCTGGAAGAGTTTGGGGGGGGGTTGGAGTGTGTCAAGTGATAGCAGGTTGTCGCAGCACAATTGTCGTATAACTTCGTATAATAGAATCGGTTTCACACACTCTCTCAGTGCTCAAGCACATCGTCCAAACTTAGAGAACGGGTGTTTTTATTTTGTTGGAACTTTGTTTTGTGGGCAAATAAATAAACAACTATCCTAATCGATACAAATACAATTATCGATAAAAAACATAAATATCGATTACCACAAAAGAACATCATTTCACGTACCTTTATGCCCATTTGCCTGATCTTTTCAGAGAGGAAGAACATGGGAGTTGATGCTCTGATCGATGTGACATCGTAGGTTTCAAGATGCCATATCAAATTACGCAGGTTCTTCAGACCATCCTGAAATCCACTGAACTCAACGTAATGCTTTAAAACGCTTGTTTTGAATGATTAGGGATGAAAGGATCAAGTATACGGCGTTGATCAACCTTTTTCGATGACGCCATTGAGCCTCATTGGTGGATTAAATCTGTCAGCGCACTAGGGGTGTGGCTAAGGCCGCCTTTACGCCCTTCCACCAATGACGTTTAGTGGCGTCATCAAAAGGCCCCACCCACCTATCACCGTGATCGCTGCCTTTAAGGCAATTTAGCTATAATGACTTGGGGCGGGGGAAGTTCAGTGTCTTTCTAGACAAATCTGGTAACAGTTAAACGATCTCGTAGGGTATGGGGGCTTGGCAGCCCTAAATGGTGGACGATTAGGATTTGATCTCAGAACCGTGTGCGTGGCAAGCAGCAGTTGCTACTACACCAATATGATCTCACCTGTACACTGAAGTGGAATTCATGATGATGGGTTCCAATGTGCTTGGCTACTTTTCTGGCAGCGATGATATCAGGAGACATGTGATCGACTCCGATGGAAAACGAATGAACTATCAATCCGCGTCTTGTCATTTCACGAGCTGCTATTGAACTGAAATCGAGTGGATTCGAGACGTTCATTTGAAACTGGATTCTTCACAAACCTGACAAGACTCGAATCGAGTCCACCAGAGAGAAGAATTCCGAGTGGAGCATCGGACATGAGACGTTTGGTCACAGCTTCCACAAAGGTGTCGTGAATAAGCTTCAAGTCTTGCTCATGCGTAGCTAGACGATAGTCAACCCATGCCGGCTACAATGCAAAATATGACATAAATGAATGGACCAGTAATGTAATGCTATCATATTTCAGAGGAGAATGTGGATTCGAAGGTGGTTGGAGGAGGGCACTTGACGGTGCGACGCTCTGCTCGTCTGCGCCTCCTCAGGTTATATGATAGCTTCGATGCGAAACGTAAAATCCGCAAAAAAGTTAGACTATCTCATTAAGAGGGCGCAGACGGACAGCGCGGCCGGATGGTGACTGTACCTCCGCCCCCGCATTCATTGTGTCTGGCAGCTAGGTGCGTCTGCAGTGCAGACTTAGCACCACTTAGGCGTCGCATAAAATATCAAATGCATCAAAAATTACACGTGACATTGATTTTTTTGACGCCTCCACTAGTTTGCTTCGCAGAATCAGTAGGTCATGTTGTGAAGTCCTCGAAAGTCCTATCACGTTATTATTGAGCTGATTACTCATTCGACACTACTAATC